TCCTAACTCTAGAAACAGATCACCAACACACTCAGATAGGTTTATCCACTCTGCATAGCCTTTAATAGCCCTCCCCAGAGAAATTAACTTCCTAGATAAACACATTTTTTAAAAATAACACTAATTATATTCTGACAATTTTGGTGTGTTTGAGTAGAAAATAGAACTGTTACATATTCATTAGACATGGAACAACTCTAAGTGTTGTGCCACACCATTAATATTTATTTTACTGTCTTTTTCTTCCTCTCCTGTAAAAAAGCAATACAATTTTTCAAACCATCAGTTTGCATTACTAAAACAGAAAGAAAAAAAGAACGAAAACATGATAGGTGAAAATGAAAAAAAAAAGGCCTTAATTCAGTGAGTAATAACTTACATAATTTAGTACAACAGGGCAGGAGTCCTCTCACTGAGGTCAAAAGAAATAATCACACGCTTTAAGTTAGCTCTGGACCCACACACCTCGCTGACATTTCTAACCAATTCTCACTTGGAGGGAGGATTACTGGAACCTCTGTTGCTCCCTCTACCTTTTGCTGGGGGTTATCAGAGCAACAGAATGAGACATATGGTCTTTTCCTAAGAGCCCAGTTTATTTGCACCGGGAAATAAACACACCAGTCTCTGACTGGGACAGATGAGGTGAACACACAATCCCTTCAGCCGGCGCTGCCAGGGCAGTCTCTGGCAGAGATGCAGAGCGCAGTCCTCGGAAATCATAACTAGTAAATACAGAGATTAAAACCAGTAATGCCTCTGTGTGCGCAGCAGCTGGGTGAAATGAATCACCTGGACAAGAAATCAACAGAGTCTGCCAGTGCCCTTTGTCAAACTAAGAGTATAAAGTAAGAAGACACTGTGTACAAAGCAACGCAGCAAAGCAGCAGCCGCTTGGATAATATTTTACTGCAAGAGCAATCTGCATAGCAAAGATTACTGAGAATTAATCTTGTTTTCTAAATATATTTAGTGTTTGTACACAATGTTTCATTTACACTGGGAATGGGTACTGTGTACCTGCAGAACTTGAAATAGTTTTGTCGATTCCCTAGGACAGCCAGCTGCAGGAAATGATTTACTCTGAACACACCACTCACAAAATAAGTTATGCTAAGGATTTACAGCAATTCAGTACAAGCAAAGCAAAACACTGTTTTTTGAAGGGCATCACAGAAGACTATCTTTTTAACTGCTGAAATAAAAATAAATGCCTTTTTTCACATCAGTAACAACCTCTCATGCATTTCCACATAAAAGCTTCTTAAGCTTTGAAATGGTGTATTTAAGCTAATTGTTTTATCTGCTAAAAGAAACAGAAAAGGTAGGGAAAATTGTGTTCTTTCTCTTTACCTTTTCTCCATTAGAACACTTGGTGCATTTTCCTACATAATTACCTAAAATAAGCTTATCTACTTTAAAAATGTAACGACTGAAATATGCATTTACCTCTTGCCATTCCTTTTCTATCCCCCTCTGTTTAAGCTGTAAAATCACGTTCTGAAGCCACTAAGAGTAATGTGACATCTGTGAAATGATGCATTTTGTTTCTAATGCATGCACTCAGCTGCAGATTTGACTTTGAAGTACTTAATTCTGAAATATCTAAAATAATCCCAGGTCACAGAGAAATGGCACTGAAGCATCCGGAACTCTGCTTTCGTTAGGAAAGGGTCTCGGTGAGAAATGGACCAGACACATCTCATCCTTTTCAGTTCTACTTTGTTACCAGCTTCCCTGTCCTCACAGAAGCTACACAGCATCTTTGCTCCACACCATCCCAAGGCTCACATGAACCTGCAAAGGAAAGAGGGTAAGAGAGTTTTAGGATGAACTGTCTCCAAGAGCAGATGAGGTAATGGCATGCAGAGTGGAAAGGCCAGGCACAGAGCTGTAACCAAAGATGAATGTCTCGTAAGAAGGTGGCCATTTTGTATTTATGCTACAATTTCCGTGGCCTCATTTCTTGTCCTCCTCATCCTGTTACTCCTAACTTCTGGGGCAAGCCACACAATCCCTCTTACAGTGTGAGCACAGGATTGTTTCAGCATCCACGATACACAGAGCAACGTGACATGGAAACGTCAGGGAGAGGCTGCAGCTTTGACTTAACCCACGTCTTTGAGCTGTGGGTGAGGAGGGAAGGGCAAAACCATCCCAGACACTCACACCCGTAAGAAAAACATTTAGGTATTTCTCAGGCAGCCATGCTAAGATTTCCTCTGAGCCTTGGCAATATCTCCAACACTTCCACAAAAACAGAACTGGAAAAAAATACAGTTTTCTTCTTTCGTTACAGTCCATTTTTGACTTGAGCACTGCAGCCATCCACCCCCATTTACCAACTGCTTGTTTTGCCTGTTTTAATACCTGTAGGATCTCAGCAATTGATTCCAGAGACAGCAAGAGAAGACACAGCATCTCATCACCCAGAGCAAACATCACATCCAGAGGATAAACCTGTTTGCTTGACGTGCTCTTAACTATTGGTGATTTACTTAATCAGGTCTCACAAAGAAGCAAATTAAACCCATAGCTACTAGAAACAATGACTGCTTTTTAACAGAGAAAATAACTTTGCCCAGGCTGGCTGAATCCACTCACTGTCTCTGTGACTTCCCTCTGGTTATTCTGCCAAGCAAACACCATGATCCTACTCATTAATTGTAGAGCCATTCACGCCCAGAATAGTAAATTCACCACCTATTACAATAAAAAATAAAATCCTAAGGTATCCCAAAATTTGGGGAGTTATTCAAAGTTTTATTTTCTTCTAATAAGCATATAAATCACAAACCGAAACCACAGGGCAAGATGCTAAATGCTTAGTTATTGGTGAAATATTTTACTAATGGCTCAGACTTGATGAATATTTAAAAAAAACCCTACTCATTTTGCTTAAAAAACATTTAAAAAGTTCTCAGCACGCTGGCAGCAGAAACATATTATAAATTGAAAACTACCACTTAAATAAGGAAAAAATAGAGCCAGGCAGGCAGGGACTTTGGAGGGAGAGAAATTATGAAGCCCTTGTCAACCCCACTAAAGCAGCAGCAGCATTGCTACAAAGCCAAGCTATGTCACCACCCTGCTATGGACTACAGACAGCAACTCCAAATCAAGAGAGACCATGTCTTGCCCAAAAAGCAGGACATGCTTTTGTACCAGGACTTTCCCCACAAACAACGCTCATTGAAATGTTCGATCTGTGCCACGGGTATATTGTAAATGGTAAATCACAGACACGCATATTTTCTGGCCAAATTACTGTAAAATTCCTATTAACTGCTATTTGCTTCAGCTGGGAACTTGGTACTAACTCTTCTACAGAAATATTATATACGCACTTCTCTCTCCCTAAATAGTCTTTAATGTTGCAATATCAATGACCATCAGTAATCAAGATCCAAGATCATGGGGTATTTTCTTCTAAAAAAATATGTTTTTCTGTGGATACAGCACAATTCCAAAGCCTGGTATCTCTGGGATGTGCACGTTAATAAGAACATGGAAGTTAAAACGAGTATTTCCCCAGGTTCCCATGGGAACAACACCACTTACTTCCAGATCTGGATAGTTTCAAGCTACTGGGTTAAACACTTAATAAAACATATCTAAACAAGCTATTCCTAGATTTTTCTGTGGCTTCCCAATTACCAGGCTGAATGATTCCATGATTCTCTACTTGCTACAGAAGAATAAAAGCACAGAGGGAAGTTGCATTCATAAATTGACATCTCTCCAGTCTTTAGAAACACTATGCACACACTGCATGCAGATTCCTGACTGTGTACAACTGCATTCCTTCTCTCCCTATGTTTTTCATGTATATCAGGACTTGCAGCCTAAACTAGAACTTGCTGATGTCCACAAGAGGCTTTCTTTTGACTGGCATTTTATTTCCTTTGAGTGACTAGACTGTGGAACAGATCCTGCCTTCTCAGGATCACAGATCTGTCAGCAATAATTACAACAGACTAGCTGCAAGTTAACCAAAAAGTTGATGAAAACAGAATTCTCCTTTTGAAATTAAAAATATCAGGGGCTCTTACATGGAATAGCAAGAAAGCCTTGGTAAGCATTAAACAAACAGATGAGATAAAAAATGTGTTAGACACTTATAACACTTTATACAAATGTACCCTATTAACACAGAAATTTCTCAATTGCACTGATTTTTAAGAAACAAAACCCCAGAGACATAAGAAGTAGACTAATAGAATTATATCTACTGTGCTATTTTTCAAAAATCAGAAAGATAAATAAAACTAGAACTTAATCTAGAAAACCACTGGGATAACATAAATTAAGTTCTTAGGAAAATACAGATTTGGACAATAAGAGAAGCTGTGTTTCAATAAAGTCTTTGATCATTCAAGATAAGTATACTGGAAAATAAAATTTTCGGCTTTATTTGATTTCTTTAGAAAATAATCTATTTCTTCTCTGTTTCTACCCAAAGTACCAGAAAACCTACCCCAATAAGACACAACTGAAGTCTCCCACTGTTCCCTTACTGAACACAAGCTTTTCTCCCATCTCTGAAATCAAAATTTCTTATATCAGTTACTTCATCCGCATTGTACATTATATATGCTGCTATAGTGCTCTAACATTTCAATTTGCTCGTGATATTTTCAACATTTCTTTATAAGAATACGCAAATGAAAACTGCCTGTTTACTGAACAATAAAACAAACTCTATCCTCCCTCTAAACAAAGTCTTCATTAATCTTGCATAGACTTCAGTTTCTTATTGCGCAGAAAACAAAATAAATACTACTGATGTCTGGAAAGGTATCCTGCAGAGAGAAACTTTAGGATATTTATTTCATTTCTTAGACTGAAAGTAAGAGTGGAACTTGACCCTTTCATATAATACCTTTTTTTAAGGTGCAGACACAGACATAAAATACAGCATGTGGAGATTCAGGCCAAGTTGGGAATAAAACACAGGTTCTTTTAAGCTGTAGAGGTAATTAGATACCAAGACAACTTACCATGGGAAGTAGCAAGTCTACTAGCACAGAGTCATTAAATCAAATTTTCATGTCTCTCACTAAAAGATACACTCTGGTATCAGCACAAACTCTTGACTCTACAGCATTCAGTCCCTCAGTCAACTCTCTGTACTCCAGAACCAAAGCCCAAAGGAGCAGGAGTTGCACAAATCCACAGAGACCTGGTGACCAGCAGCACAAAACCATGTCAGTCCGTTCCTCCTTGGTGACACTGCAGTGACACCTTCAAAAGCAGCGGTTTCAACCACTCCTCATGTTCCTCACTATGACAAGAGGGAGACAGACCTACTAACTCATATGGGAATAACAGGATTAGACACGTGGAAACAAACTAGGGTGCATTTTACCATTCTCAAACCGCTGTCTTTTAATAGGTTTGAAAATCCCAAGGGAAGCAGTGGTGAGAAAACCCAAGCAATTAAGTTCTGCTGACTACACAAACTATGGAACAGGCTCTCACTGCCCTGAGTGAAATAAAATGGCTACAAAAAGGATCTTTGATGGGGGGGTCCCTCTGCTACCCATACAACCAGTCAGGATCAAATCAGTCAGAGCCCAGCAGCACATCAGCCTTCTACCCAACCCACGGTAGAACCCATTAAGCAATAAACAGGTGGCAAAAAAAAGTTTTATAACCCCTGTGATGGGCACAACAGTTAACTGTACTTTAAATTATGGATGGCCACCAACTGGGACATTGGACCAGAATAAGATATGTACACCTGAAATCATGATTGTCCTCTTCAGAGCACCTGTTAGCAAACAGTTATCTTTAGAGATTGTTTATACTTAAAACTATTCATTTATGCTGATATTTCAGATTGGACTTAAAACATTAGCACCTGTACTTACTGTATTCTGGAAACATTTGACTGAAAGAACAATCTGCATTGGAAAAACTAAGGCAAAATGGATATACCCTGAAATGGATTTCAAGAAAGCAAACTGCCACACCACATTATTGTACCCTTCAAGCTATGACAGTCTTGTCACCATGGTATTTCAGGATTTGGTTACCACCAATAAAGAAAAAAAAAGATTATGGCGTTTTTTGAGCACACTTATCAGACAGTGTTTATAATTACTTTATTGAGGAATTAGCAACAACTATCTTGCAGCCTGAAAGTTCTTTAAAAGTTTATGAAGATTTGGCATCAGTAGCAGACCCACTTACACTGTGCAAGAAGGAAAATAAACCATCAGGACACAGCAAGCACTGAACATTTTTCAGTGCACGTCCCAGCCCCAGAAAACAAAAGAACCATTTTTCTTGCGTCGCACTTTGTCACCCTCCCAGCAGAGACTTGTAGATTTACACGGGAGGCGAGACAATACCAACCCAATCTTAAAATATCTCAATCATTCAGTCTTTTTCCTCGGCCCAACTTGTCACTTATCTTCACAGATCGCAGCCGTTTCACCGGGATGCTCCGTCTTCAATTTTTTATGAGGTGGCTCCCTGGGGAGCAGAGCTGTGCAGTGCTCCAAGGATCGAGCAATTTCATCAATTGTCCATTTGTCCTCGTGAAGGGCGTGTTCCTCCAGCGTGAACGGCCCCTGCTTGGTGCGGGTCAGCTCTTGCATAGTGGCACAGGTCGAGAGCTCTGCAGGAAGAAAGAGAGGAATTGGAAAAAGGGCAGGGATAAACTTTAAAAGCGTAACCGTCTGCAGCTCACTTAAAATGTATTTTTATGCGCAGCTTTCTAGGTTATTCTGCTTTATCTGAGAAGGAAGTTGACGAAGGTTTATCACACTTCTATGTTCTTTAATGTGAGCCAAGGAAGTCCTTTGATTTCAACAGATCTCCAGGGTAATAAAGAGTTCAGAATCTGGCAGAAAGTTGCCAAAAATTTTCCCAGATTTAGAACAGAATGAAAAGAGAGGAGATAATGTCATAAGATGTAAACAGAGCATCCTGCATTCACAAGTGACCATGAACTATTTCTCCACAGATTTTGAGGCCTTAGCACTTCTTGCCTTCAGGAATAATTTTTGACATTTTTATCCTGTGCTGCCTATCAGGATAATATAAACTAGGATAAGGAAAAATGAAAAAATACATAAAAATGCTCTGCTATGTTAAATAAATACCAGCAGGACATAATTACATAATGAGGGGGAGAAAACATACCAGCAACCAGGGCTGACTTGTAAGTGCACAGGTACATTAAAATACTCTCCCATCCCTTCTGATGCAGGAAGATTTTCATTGCATTTTCAATTTTTGAAAAGAAACCAGCTGCAGACAGACTTAATCTTGGTTTATCATTAAAAGGCTAAACATAAGCCAGTATGCTCAGAAGGCAGTAACAGAAACTTTGACTTGCCTAAGCACAAACAACAACATTGAAATTCATAGGGTTATCCTCTATTACTTGCCTTCTTGATCTACAAATGTATAATTTAAAAAAAAAAAAATCTGAAATGGATTATCTATTCTCCATCATGCAGCTGGATAGATATAGAGCACAAAACAAATAACCCTGTGGGAAAGCAAAACTATTCACAGTTCAGGCAAAGCAGAAAGAAAACACTAGAAAAATCATCACCAACGTAGAAGTCTTTCCAGTAGATAGGGTTCATTATGTGCATGGTAATGTTCTGTTCAATCTTTTTTCAAAATGTGATGAATTATGTTTAAAAAGACAGTGTTCCTTCTTCTTCTTCTCATCTTTAAGCTGAGTTAGCTTTAACACATGGAGGAGGAAATAAAAAAAATCCCCACCTTGCCTTGCATTATCTTGCTGAGTGCTATTGCCTGCTCCACTTTTATCCCCCAGCCCCCAAGGTCCCCTGGCAATTATTAAGCCTTCATTCCCCCCATGCTCCCAAGGAAATTACCTTAGTACATAAAAACAAGTGAAAGCACTACAATTCTGCAAAATAACACACGGGTCTATTTCCCGGAGATACGCAAAATGACAACATTTTTCCATAAACACACACTCACTCCTTAAATTGTCATGTGTTTGTTTTTTTTCCATGCCTACCTTTGCCAATGTCACTGACCAGGCTCCTGACATAAAAGCCACCACCACATTCAACATCTGGAACGTTAAAAGTGACACGGTAAATTGCCAGTGCAATGTGAAATCTACTTTCCATAGAAACCATGCCCCCTAAATAAATGTAAAAATGAGCTGAGCAAACAACCCAGTGATAAAATATTTATAGGATGCACCATCAATTATTCATCCTGTAACATATGTGCGGGTGAGATTGCTAAGCCAGACAGGAGGGAAAGCAAATAAAATGGCAACTGAACTAACTCACTGGAATTTAAGTACTTGCTGTGGTATGTGAACAAATGCTTCAATCCTATTCATTTTAAGCATTTCAGAAGGTTGATTCATATTTCTAATAATGAAGGCAAGTTATTTCAAGAACTGCCTAAACTGACTATCAATGCTTTTAAGATACTGCAGGCAGGCAGCTGCATAAAATTTTAAAATTCACCTTTAACTTTCCCTGCTAACTCAGGTCTTCCCTTCCCCCTCTGCCAGTGATCAGCTAGTAGTCACTCAACCAAAAAGTAAGAGCTGAAGTATGACAGCAGTGAGCTCTGTCACTCATACCTGCTCAGCATGTAAGATCTGGCCCATCAGAGGACCACAGGTCAACTAGGTAGGCAGATTAATGCAAGACATTATCTTCACCTTACAGGGGCATCAAACATTTACAACAGTCTTTTTGGTTTATTTATTAATGTGCTTCTTAATGTACTACCCAAGTTTCTTGATGTATGACAGAAGGTAGGATAAGATCCTGCCTCTTCAACCAAGAAAGAGGTCTGACAGTAACTGATCCTGGTCCCTGCTGCTCCCTGGGAGAGATGCCAACAGGGCTGGGCATCTTGGTAAAAGAATGGGCAAAGTGGAGGAAGCAGACCTGAGAAAGGAATGAGCTGGAGGTTGCAAAAACCATGGACAGATGCAAATAATCCCCTGACCAGTCTCTCAGAATTTTCCCTCACTGAAAGATTAGATATAATCAGCTTAACCTAAACCCAAAACACGGTGCTTTTAATGCAAAATGCCCACGGGCTCACACCAAAATAAGCAGTTGAGTGAAATGAAACCCATTTCACTATCTTAGTCCCATTGTGAGTGTAAATAAACATTAGCAAGCTGGGAGCGTTGCTCTGTGTAATAAACTTTGACCTTTACCCAGCGTGAACAGTGGTGGCTGGAACTGCTGAAGAGAAAGGCTGTACACTCTCACTGGCCGAGCAGGCTTTGCTTCAACTGCTTCTCCCCTCTTCATCAGAGTAGAGAGCCTTTCTCCATCCTTCTTCAGAGCAGAATAGCTGATCAGACAGAGCATGAAAATGTGTGTCATACGGTTGTAATAGAACAAGCTTCCCATTCTCCAGATCCTGTTAATACTGGACTGGAGTAGCATTTTACTCCTCTCCAAGTACTCACAAAAACCCCACAAAATCTTTTGGACACAGAATCATCTCATTTGCCACCAGTTCTATAAACTGGAAAAGAAGAGATGGTTCTATTTCCATCTCTTGCCATACAGATTTAGAAGTGTTTCAGTAGTCAATTTGCAGTTTATGAAATAAAAGGGTTTCTATCAGGGTTACAACACTTGTATCTGCCTCTTAACATCCTGTCTCTCAGAAGTCTGCAGGGCATGCTCTGTCCCAGCGTTATGCTGAGCTGAGCACTGGGAGTTGCTCAGGCAGCTCCTGTAGTTCTGCATCGCTCCTTTCCTTGTCTCTCACCGGGGTCTCTCCTGAACAGCAACTGCTGTTCTAGGGTGTTTAGGGAACCACTATGGAACCAAAGAAATTGATTTCACTGATTACACGGAACTTTATTCAAAGCCCCAGTTTGGGTCGTGACAGAAAGATGACCATAGAAAAATCAAAAAAGGTCTCGCTCAAATTAATAGTGGGCCATTTGAAACAGGTCACATGAAGCAGAACATGGACAGAGCTCCAGAGCTTACAGGGCTCACATTGGAACCACAGCAAGTGACATATGGCAAATGCAAAGGAATGCATGTTAGCTGAAATCACCATAAAAGCCATCTGTCACAAGCCAAGTGCCTGCACACTGCCAGCTACTGTGGCTCACCTGAGCAGAAGAATTTGCTCAGTCACTCATCACTCATTCAAGCTTCTAAGGTTGCAGAAAACTAATTCATAGTCATTTAAGGCACTTCCACAGAGATGTCAGTAAGATGGGAAGGCAGGACAGGAGCCACCAAGCCCTGCAAAGTTGTTCAAGACTTTTGCTACTTCGCATTTACCCAAAACACCCACAGACTCCAGGTCACCATTTGTGCTCCATCTTCAAATGGGCACGACCTGCACTTGCAAATGTTAAACTCCTGACTGCCTTGCCTCCATCCCCTTGCCAAAACACGTCTCAATATTTCTGGGAGAACTGACTTCTGTTGGCAAGTCCTGACAGTTGAACACAACTGTCAAGACTGTCTGAATATTGTGGTACTTACAGTGGTGGGACTTGCATGATGTGCCCCCTGAACTTCTGCAGCACATTTTCAAGATCTCCTTTTGTTACCTGGTCTGTAGGAAGAAAACAGTCAGTATGTTAGCACTGATTATTCACATGGCACTAATGGCATCAGTCACGTTCTGCAAACGGATACAAATCAGAGTTCCCTCTCCTCTGAATTTAACTTGGGTGAAAAACACCAAAGAAAAGAGAAAAACCAGAATGTAGGTAGGAGTGTGAACTATCAGAGAAAGAGTGGAACAAACAGTCTGAGGTGATTAAGACAGTCTGGACACTTTCAGAAGGGCAGGAATTCTCATACAGACAATTTTCTTTTGCAATTTCCCTCTCTTGGAGCTGCAAATCCATCTTTCTTGGGAACTGGACAAAAACTACAACATTTGGTACATTCTAATTTTTGTTAGAGCACCAAAAACAATAAAATGCTCATCTAACTTTGGGAACTTCTCTTTAAGAGTACCT